TAGGTTTTCTATGATGTTCTTCTATGGTGTGGTATTAGAGGGTGGTTACACAGGGGGGTCTTCTATGGGATGATATTAGGGTTTGGTTACACAGGGAGGTTTTCTATGAGGTTCTTCTATGGGGTGGTATTAGAGTTTGGTTACACAGGGAGGTTTTCTATGAGGTTCTTCTATGGGGTGATATTGGGGTTTGGTTAGGTGTTGTTTCTGATCTCCTGAAAAAGCTGACTACCTGGCTGTCTCTGAATCATTCCTTAGCCAAGAATCCAGACAAATCATGCAGGTAGTGAAGAAAGAATTCTTGATCTTCATACTTGTTCTACATAAGTGACTTAAAGTACTGAAGTAATGGGAAAAATCACATACGCCAGGACAAAAGCATATTCAGGAGATTGACATCTCCCAAATTTCTTTCAACCGCTTTCTTCTATCAATGAGGCCTGATGACATTGGGAGGCTGACAAATACTGGAACATTCAGAATTAGCTCTGGCTGTATATAGAACGGTAATACATTATATAGTACTTTGCACGCTGGATGGTAAGCCATTAACCCAAGGTCGCCAGAGAAGGTGCTTGTGAGAACCTGTATGAGCAGGCTCCTGACAAAGCCAAGCCAGATTTCTGTCATTACTCCAGCAGGTTTTCTCACTAAAGGAATTGAACAAACAATCACAAATGCAGCATCACAAAAGCAAAAACTCAAATGCCATGCATAGAAGAGGATCAGAAGTTCTGTCAGGCTCATATCGTGGCCCGGCCCTCCATCACTCCTCATTCCAGAAGCCACAGTCTATGAAACAGGGAGGTGAAGGAAGGAATATTAAATTGATAATATGTGACCTGGACCAAGGCAGTATGTGCCACACCCCTGAGGTAAGTATCAAAAAAAAGAAAGGCTGGGGTTTTTTAGGCATCAATTGACAACTTCCAAAGCGGTGGGTTATAAAAATATATTTATTGGTAAAGAATTGTTAAAAGCGGAGTAATTACATAAAACCAACCTTATTTGATAACTCCCTGGAAGCTCACTCCATTACTGTGCTGTACAGCACGCTGGGCGGCCATACGGCACGCTGGGGGCTCGAAGGTGAGAGGACAACGGATGCTCCTCGGTTCACCAAAGGGGAATTATCAGGCAAGGATCCTTATTCATCCAATGGCTTATTCTGACACAATATACCCCTCACCTTTTGCTGCCTATAGTGGGACTTATGGTCTCAGCCTCTCTTCCTCTGGTCTGCTCTGGAGGGCATGGTTCAGGTGCTGCGCCTGGACGGGTCCGCACACACACATCGATTTTATCGATAACTTCCACCTCTCGAAAAAGCGCCGTCAACCGCGAAAAGTCGAGACAAATTGTGCTCCTCCAATGTCAGCCACCCTTATTGTTAAATCCTTGATCATGTGTTCGATTTCAATCAATTCCTTTTCCAATCATGTTTTGAAATCATATGATATTTGATCATGTTATCTTTGCTACTCAATCATGTTTTGTATATCTGGTACTGTGATTCAAATCATGTTATTCACACATAAGGGACAGCACAGTAATGGAGTGAGCTTCCAGGGAGTTATCAAATTAGGTTGGTTTGATGTAACTATACCAATAAATATATTTTTATAACCCACCGCTTTGGAAGTTGTCAATTGATACCTGAAAAACCCCAGCTTTCCTTTTCCTTTTTTTTTTTTGAAGGAAGGAATATTCCCAAACATGTATTCGCCATGTCTCCCCGCTATATTCATCTAAACGTGTCTGAATTACCGTGTATGTACCCCTCACTTTCTACAATGATGACCTCCGGCACAGAAATAAGCAATTCCTATGCTCCTCGGTTCCATCGAATTGCTGGAACGCCATGCGTACAGCATTCACCCTGCGCATGGCTTGGCAGAAGATTTATAAATCAGTCTCAAAGTCTCTTTCTACAATAAAAGCTTCTTATCTTCCCGCTCACAGACTGGACTTCAAACATCTCTGAATGTATTTGTCTGTATTACACGGTAGTTGAAGGGATTAGTAGTTTACATAAGAAATGCAACACTGTTCTCGCTGTCGTTTTAGCTGACAAAGTGAAAAGGACCCGACATCTATGGCACGGCCAACAGATATTTTCTGTACTTCGGGAAAATATTTTTAGCTTGAAAAAAGAAAACTAATACAGCCAAGAATCAGTAGGCTACAATATATTACATTTTTGGGTTTAGATACACTTTAAATTCTATTATATACATTTCACACAAACAACGCCGATAAAAAGATTTTTTTTATTGTGATGTTAGAAGTTAGACCGCAATAGATCTAGGGCTATCGAGTGACATCACAAGTCCGCTGTCCATATATCACAGTATATTATATCCTCCCAAGACCTCCTGTTTTCCAGCTCCCTTGTCAACTGCTCCCATACTTGCCTCCAGGACTTCTCTAGAGTATCTCCCATCCTCTGGAACTCTTTCCCCCAACCTGTCCGTCTATCTCATACTCTGTCTGCCTTTAGGCGATCCCCAAAGACTCATCTCTTCAGGGAAGCCTATCCCACCTCAACCTAACCACTGAACCATCACATTCTCAAACTATCATCCCTGCGCAGCTACCTCATGTATCACTTGCCCCTCCCTTTTAGATTGTAAGCCCT